TTTAGGGACCGCTCATTATTTATTGTACAGGGGGGGATTGAGGAGAAACTGGGGGGGCCTTTAAATTTTTTAAAACCTGAAAGGGGGGGGCTTTGAAAAAATACAGAGAGACGAAAGAAGGGGGGCTTTGAAAATATTTACCAGTTTGAATAAAACATTACTAGTTTTAAAAATGTATCACAAAACAACTTAACAACAAATAATGTTTATAGACCTAATATTTATAAATGGAAGCCAAGTCTCTTATGTTCATGTAAATAGACAATTCCCATTGTAGACTAATTTTAGAACTAGGCAAAGAGATGCAAATCAAGGCCGAATTTTGGTGAAAATAGTGGTGGAGGTGGAAAAAAATGTTAGGGGAGGTGCAGCAGTCTAGCTCACAACCCCCATGGAAAATTAGGGCTTATTGTAGAACAGGCCAATATCAACAAGGTGAGGTATGCATGTAGTGTACATATGTACCAGTGTATTAATGAATTATGAATGTATGACTCCAATCTTGCCCTTCATTGCAATTGCTACAAAGTTTCTTTCAAAACATTGCATTAACAGTGTACTTGACACAGATATGAATGGCTATCACTGTTTCAATTTTACAGAGAAAACTTTCTTATGTCACGAAGTGTAGATCCTAAGCAACCATCACATTTTCACTTTGTTCCATCATTGAAACTTTCCGAAGGGGAGGTGCATGACCTTTCAGGAGAAATGCAAAAATTCTCAGGGGAGGTGCAAAACGATCTCAGGGAGGTGCGCACCTTTCCACACGTCCCCTCAAAATCCGGCCTTGATGCAAATAAATCACCATTGCTAGAAAGAGCATACTAAAATAAGTAAATTATTTCAAAGTTTGGTTGCGAGATGTTGTAAAATACGGAAAATATAGCCTTGCAAAGTTTGCAAATTTTGTATACTTTTGTATTACATGCGAAAATTGCAATACAAAAGTATACAAAATTTTTGCAACTTTGGAAGGCTATATATTTTCTACATTTTACAACATTTCGCAACCAAACATTGCAATTTTATTAATTTTAGTATGCCCTTCCCGGGAATATACTTTTTTAGTCTATAGTGGGAATTGTCTATTGGTCCCCATTATCTATTTGTGTTTCTCTAAATAAAGAGCTAGAGTTTTTGTTTCTCTAAATAAAGATAAAGAGCTAGGGAGGAGGGGGGTTGTTAAAATTTATGTTCTTGTTTTGCCTGTTGGGGGTGGGGGGAGGGCTTTGAAAATTTTACTTATCTTAGGAGGGGGGCAACGAAAAAATATTATAACTGTAGAGTTTCTCCTCAGTCTCCCCCTGTACAATAAATAATGAGCAGTCCCTAAATATTTTGATTACATGCCGGCCTTCTTTAGATTCGCAACAAAGCCTACAAACAGGATTTCTTGCCGAAATTTTGGTTGGCGTCTCTTTGTTTTCCGTGAGTTCAGCTGGCATTTATTAACACAATTTTGAAATAATTTATATAGAAATTTGCGAAAGTTATGCATAAATTTAAAAATGCGTCTTACCAATCAGAAGCCAGAACCGACCAGCCGATCTTAGGGCCTTTTCCCGCCTTCCCAATGACAAAAAGGGAAAAGCCCTGGGAACGAGGTTGGAGATTTCAGTAGCGCACCAACCGAACCACAAAGCTGTCAAAGGCCAGTTGTCGAGCTCCAACTGCAAGTTCCGCCCGCCTTTTATCTATACACCCGTGTGACCGGTCAAAATTTTGCGCCTGTCATTCCCAAGAAATATATCGTGCATTAGATGCTCTTTCAAAAGATAGTCTGTGGTACATGATCATAGTTTATGCCTATTTATAAAACGAAACCTCAGAGTCAACCTTTTAACATTATTATACAAGATAGTTTGCACTTTAAAGACCGTCGTATTACTCGTATATGGCATTATGGCCCACAAACCCAACAACTGCAATATTGACCAGATTTACATAATTAACCATCGATCAGCTTTCATTGAATCAATCTAAAATTTAAATATCTTTCTATTTGCTCGGTAATTAGGTAATATTTCCAAAATGTCAGAAAAATTGCAACAATGCAACAATCTCTGCCTACACGTGGATCATGCAGATTAGGACTGTAATATTGAACAGATTTACATAACCAGCAGCCGTCGCCGTCACAGCGGATTTGGACCCCCCAGTAGATTTGAACCCCCCGGTCCAAATCTCCTAGTAGATATGGACCCCCTTTAGCGGATATGCTTTTAAACACTTTTATATACTAAAAACAACCCCAATAAAGGTGAATATGTTAATTCATTAGTTTTCAGATACCCGGAGCTTCTTATCAACCACACATAGTCATTTATTGTGAATAGAAAACATTGTTTTTCAAATTCAAAAATCTCGACCAAAATGTCCATTAAGTTTGTCGGAGTGACATGCAGTTAAAATCTTCTTTTGCTCGTCAACGTTAGGCACCCACCGTCGTGGCTCAGAGTTATCCAATCCTTTATAAAACAGCACGCCATTCTCCAGGACAAACTTTTGGGATCTTTTCCGCAAGATCCTGTTCTGGTCTTTGTTGTAAAAATTGGGATACTCGTTGTCGCGAAGATAATGATATATTACTTCGTCATACGCAGTCAAATCAGCCATTTTGCGTTAAACAGAGATGACAGTTCTATTCGCGATTCCATGAATATTTTTAAACAATAAGTGATGACTCATCAGTAGCCTTCCAGCTATAAAAATATTTCAATAAATATTTCACTAAAACTCTGAAATATTTTTATAGCTGGAAGGCTACTGATGAGTCATGGCGTTGCTCTATTAATTTGGTTTATATTATTGTGTTCACATTACATATATTTAACTTTTGAAGAGGGGTCCAAATCCGCCAACGGGGGTCCGTATTTACTAGTAGATTTGGACCCCCGGGGGTCCATATCTGCTAGGAGATTTGGACCGGGGGTCCATATTTACTAGTGGATATGGACCGGGGGTCCAAATCTACGGGGGTCCAAATCAACTAGGACACCGGTCCAATCAATCTAAAATTTTAATATGTTTCTTTACTCTGTCTGTGATTAGGTAATATTACCTAAATTTGAAAACGTTTGAAAAAATGCAACAGTCTCTGCATGCCTACTGATGCAGATGCTAGTGCTCTATACTATAGCTATAGCCTATATTTTATACCTATATAAGACAGGAAATTTGACCGGATTTACACCATCAGCTTTCCTTCAATCAGTAGTTTAAAATTTGAATACTGTTTATTCGGTAACCACGTAATATTTTCAAAATTTCGGAATTTAATTCTACGGTACATTTCTCACTGGAAGATAATTTAGTATAGTCCCTTTGGCTTTGATCGGATCATTAGTCCCGCTTATCAGCTTACTGAAGATATTGTAATTAGGGAAAAATCGGTCTTGACTCATAAATGATGATGCCGTATGACAATGGGTCAGGATATGGAAGTGATGTTCTAAAGTTTATAGAAATTCTTATTATTATTACTGATTTTATGTTGAAATTAATGCGAGACTAATTTCCCTCTAACTCTATTAAGGTTACATGAAGACACCCTTTTTGGCGTTTTGCGGAAAATCGCTACTGCGCGCTCAATATCAGTCCGATTTTCATCAAATTTTCACCAAATGTTCGCCAGTGCATGCAAAATATGGTAAAGTTGTAAAATTAATAAACAATAAAATAATGTAAGAATTATTCAGGAAAATCTTAAATCGCGGTACCTTTACGCTTTTGAGTTGTGCTCCTGCTGGTTTTAAGTTATATTTATGAAAATATCATTTTTATACAGTAAAATAGTTGTTCTAAAAAATTGTGTTCGGAAATTTTTGTTTATTTCTTCATTCCGCTGATATGGCGATTTCTTTGACGACTGCAATATATTTCTGAATTGTTTCGGTAAATTGCTCTTTATTTTTAAAATATCCAAAATTTAAAAAAAGTCGAACACCATTTTGAAACTGACGTATTTAGCTATGTCCTGTGAAAATTTGAGAAAAAATGGTTAAAACCCGCAGGAGCATAACTCATTTGAAAATCAGTAAGGGACCGGTCATTATTTATGGTGGGGGGTGGCACCGAAGAGAAAAGGGTTGGGTAAACAAAATTTTGAGTAAGTAAAAGGTTGGGTAAATGAAAAAAGAAACAACTCAAAGGTTGGGTAATAAAAATTTATTGTCATTTCCAAAGCATGGTTCGAAACAGCATAATATATTAACTTTCCTGTCTTTGCCGATTACACACTGCGTTCAAGAAATAGATAATATGTCTCTATTAAACTCTGAGTTTATAACTGAGAAGTGAAAATGTCAACAACTCAGTAATTAATAATTCAAAATAGTAAGTGTATATATATATATATATATATATATATATATATATATATATATATATATATATATATTTGAGAGTAGTCTGTGGTGCGTCGGTTGTGGTTGATGGTACACAGTTCATATTACATATTGTATATACATGTAAGGCCATCTATATCATATATAGTAAGGGCGCTCTCGTGCATTTACCGGTAGTGCCAAGTATTATAGCATTTGGGGTCTTCTCATGAGGGTCTTCTCAGGTACCAGTAATGCCAAGTGTTATTCCTACAGGTGTTATAGGAGCAAGAATGAAAGAGAGACTTGGAGCAAGTCTAATGGTACATCCATAGTGACGTAGACTGATGACGTATAGGATTTGAAAATTAAACGAAACTTACCTGGGTTGTATTAAACTCTTAATGTAATCACTTTTTTGATCACTATTTTGTACTGGTCAAATAGTGATTAATTCTCACATACGCGCTTCTTATTGGATGACGTTTCCACTAACTATAGTTATTTAATAACTTTAATCACTTT